CCCCAAAACCCCAAAACCCCAAAACCCCAAAACCCCATTATTTAGAAGAAAGATTGGCTTATATAATATTAAGAATTCTCTAATGTCAACATCTCGTTTTGAAAAAGCTCTTGCTCAAGAGAACAAGCTGCGATACAGTAAGTCATGCACCAAGTTTGCTAGCCAAAATACTTCTTACTTCCTATTTAATGACGATTTGATGTGCCTCATAGTGTTTCTAAGTAAAATATATTCTTTGTAGAAATGTTTTACGTTAAACTTCAAGCATTTAGGTTTTAAATATCGTAAAATAGGTTAGCCATAGGGTATGAAGAAGAGGATTGTAATCCTAGCAAGCTCTCTGATTTTCTTCGCTAAAATTTCTGACTTATCTATATTATATCTTTGAGTAAAGTTTGTTAATTTCATAATGTGAACTATGTTCAATATGATAAAGCATTAGAAATGAAGCTATGAAATTTATTAAGAAATATTCCTCACTCTAGGTGTTATTATTAGTTTTGAGCCCAAATAATGTTGTATGTCGCACAAATTAAGGAATGACCAATGATCTCGAATTTTTGAGAGTTCTTGCAAAAATTTACTAAAGGGATAAATAGTGCTTTCTGAAACTGAATTTTCCTTAATAATTCCCACATTTTTATGGCACATTAAGTTATTAGCTGTTATTTATATTGTACTCATAATTTCTTATTACTCCTTCCTCAATATCTTCATAGGCGAACTTATTGGAAAAGTGACTCATAAATCACCTAAGTTTGCTAAGGCTCAGAAATGGTTAAAAACAAGTTATGATAAAGGAAAAATACCAAAAAGTACTAAGAGTTTTTCTTCTAAAAATAAGCTCAGAGAGAGCAAAAGTAACAAGGCTAATAAATATAATACCCTCAAAAGCACTATGCCAGGTAAGTTGTTTGGCTTGATCAGCTAGGACACACTATGACTAACATCACCCCAAAAGGGAATAAGAATTCCCTGTTAAAAAGTAACGACAGCCTCAAGAAGAAGTAATTATTAGCACTAACTCTTTAGGAGGCAAATTAGGAACTCGAATATTCAGAAATCTTCCTCAGGGTCAGGAAGATATCAACTAAAAAGTACGATTGTTGAAGCAAAGGCGAAAGGTTTAAAAATGAAGAATAAACCCCCGTTGTCTATCTCAACTACTCCTTCCCATACAAAGGGCATTTTCAAAGCATTTAAAGGATCTTCTTCAATAGGAATGGCCTCTCAAAGTCTAACAGACAGAAATAAGAAGAAAGAGGTGCAAAGCAAGCCTGTTATTCACTCTAAGCATTCGACTTTGACACAGCCAAAACAGAAGTACATGAGTTTTATCAAGAAGAAGAATCTTGAGATAGACATTCCTTCTGAAGGGCAAGGGATTCCTCCAGCTCCTTCTACAACAATAAATAAGGAACTGAATTCTAAGAATCTTGATATTGTGAAAGAAGATAAAAATAAAGCTCTCAGTACGAAGAATGCTCAGAAGATCACTTTTGAATTTGAAGATCCGAACAATTATCCTCTGCAACCTGCAAGTAGGATTATTATCCCTAATCATGAGACTACTAAATGAAGTGTCAAGGATAATGGCATTGTTAAGGCATACGCTGCTAATACTAATCAAGGAATCGTCAGAGATTATAATGAAGATAGAGTCAGCATCATTCTCAATATTCTCAAGCCTCAATCAAGAGAGAATGAAGACTGGCCTAGATGCAGCTTCTTTGGTGTCTATGATGGCCATGGAGGTGCTGGATGAGCTGATTTCCTCAGAGACTCTCTTCATCAATACGTCATCAGAGAGCCATCCTTCCCTTGGAATCCAAAAGAAGCTCTGAAAGCAGGATTCACTAAAGCAGAGAAAAAGTTTAAAGAGATCAATTACATAGAAGATCAAGGTGTTATTGACAAGTCAGGATCTTGAGCTATCGTTGTCCTCATTGTTGGAGACCTCTGATTTGTAGCCAACGTTGGGGACAGTAGAGCTGTCCTATCAGGAGATGGAGGAAAATAAAATCTTTCCTCTCAGCCTTGATCACAAACCATGTGATGAGGCAGAACGAAAAAGAATCATTGAAGCAGGAGGTCAGATCTATCAGACAGCAATTCCAAAGAACTTAGATCTTGACCAAGAATACGGGCCTCATCGGGTTCTGCCAGGAAGACTTAGCGTCTCTAGAACATTTGGTGACCTCGAAGCTAAAATTGAAAAACTTGGAGGGAATCCTAATGTTGTCATTTCCCAACCTGAGATAAAGGCTTTCAGAGTTACTGGTTCACACGATTTCATTGTGATGGGGTCTGATGGAATATTTGACAAAATCTCCAACAGAGAAACAGTTCAATGAATGTGGAACAGCCTTAGAGATGAAAAGAAGGAAGATGTTCATAGACAGACAGGTGAAGGAGTGGAATGTATCATCAAAAATTCTCTCTTCAGGAAATCTCTGGATAATGTAACGATAGTAATCATAACTTTTCAAAATTTCCAAAGGGTATTCGAAGGAGAGGAGGTAAAATTAAGTGAAAATTCTACCTCAACAGCTGAAAAGACAAAGAAGAGTGAAAAGATTGATGTTAAGCCAAAGCAAACTTCAGCATTTAAAAAGAAAGTTGCCCATACAAAAACCTTCCATCAAAAAGCCGGAATATTTAAGGATCTAAATAAGCACAGAAGAGTAGACTCTGGTGGTAAAAAGGCGCATGCAAAGGTACTTGAACATATATCCAAACGAAAACGTACGAATTCTCAAAAAGACAGTAGAAATATGAGCCCTGATACAAACACAAGATTCTCGATTGGCCAGACTTCTAAGGTAAATTCTTATTATCTCAACACCTTATAGCATAAACAAGCAAGCAAATTCAATAAGCATTTTAACAACTCAACTGATTCTTCTAAGAAAATGCCCACTTCTAAACTAGCATCATCTCTATACAAACGCCCGCGTGAGAAATGAATGACTACTAAGAACCAAGATGTAGTAGCTGGTTTGAAGACATTCGCATGGAACTAACTTTGGCCCCTGGCTTACATTTGGATTATAATTTTAGTAGTCTGGTGCTTCCAGGCTAGCTCAGCTTGGGCATGAACTAATAAATCTTTATTTTCAACATATATATTAAATAGGGGTTTTGGGGTTTTGGGGTTTTGGGGTTTTGGGGTTTTGGGG